GACACAAAGGCACCGTCTCTGCAAGAGCAGCAGACCCCTGAGCCGTATTCCCAGCCCTCTGCTGTTCATTTGATTTTGACTTTTTATTTTAAATTAGATTTATGTAGTCGTCGTGATTGAAGGTGTGTGTGCCACAGTGCACATATAAGGCCAAAGGCAGCTTGTGCAGTCAGTTCCCTCCTACTACGTGAATCCAGGAATCAAAGTCAGGTCACCTTTTCCTACTGAGTCATTTTGCCGGACCCTGCCTGGTGACTTTGACAATTGTTTAAGAATAGTATGTGTGGGGCTGGAGAGATGGCTCAGTGGTTAAGAGCATTGCCTGCTCTTCCAAAGGTCCTGAGTTCAATTCCCGGCAACCACATGGGGGCTCACAACCATCTGTAATGAGGTCTGGTGCCCTCTTCTGGTCTGCAGACATACACACAGACAGAATATTGTATGCATAATAAATAAATATTAAAAAAAAAGAATAGTATGTGTGGCTGGGCGGTGGTGGCACACGCCTTTAATCCCAGCACTTGGGAGGCAGAGGCAGGCAGATCTTTGTGAGTTCGAGACCATCCTGGTCTATAAGAGCTAGTTCCAGGACAGGCTCCAAAACAGAGAAACCCTGTCTCAAAAAAACAAAAAAAAAAAAAAAAAAAAGAATAGTATGTGTGTTTTAAGGGCTTTGCCATGTGGATATTTTGCTACTGTGGTTGACTCCTTGTAGTGTTTTGACACTGCTATTTTATGTCTATTACCTTAATGGCATTCCTTGTCCAAGCCGAGGCCACCTGCCTTCCCAGCTAGGACTTTACAAATCGGATTCACCAATTTAATCTACTTGGAAATGGTTCAGGAACTGTGCAGTTTAGGCTAAGCAGTTAAAGGGACTGAGTGAGCACACGGAACAGGCCTTCTTTATACTTCCTTGCAAAGCATGCTGCTGGCCAGGCTACACACACACTCTTCCCTTCAATGCGGTACAGTTATTTACTTACCCACTGGAGTGGAGAAAGTGAGCGTAGCATGGCATATGTGTCGGGATAACTTGAGGGAACGGGTTCTTTCCTTCCCCGTGTGTGTGTGTGTGTGTGTGTGTGTGTGTAGAGGGGTGAAGGTTGTGAGCAGTCAAACTCTGGTCATCAGACTTGGCAGCAAGTGTCTTAAGCCTTGAGCCATCCCCCCCCCCCAACCTTTTTTGTTTGTTTGTTTGCTTGAGACAGGGTTTCTCTGCTCTGTGAATGTCTGTCCTGAAACTCACTCTGTAGCCCAGGCTGGCCTTGATCTCAAGGATACACCTGTTTCTGCCCGCTAGGTGCTGGGTTTAAAGGGGCGCACCGCACACCCAACCACGTGGGGGAGTATGCAGTGGGAACTGGCAGTGTGTAGGTACCGAGGGGAGGAGACACTGGGGTATCTGCTTACCAGTTTCTCAGCCTTTGGAGACTCAGGACTGTGCTCACACATTATCAATGACAAAGTGACTACCGAGGTTATCATTGTATTAAATTAATGGTACCAAATTTGGGCATTTTGTTTTATTTTGAGTTGTTCTGGTATCTTAGCCCTTAACCAAGCATATGTGTTTTTTTTTGATATTTTTTTTTGTGGTGTTTTTGTATATTTGTTTATTTTTTCTTTCTTTGGGTATAGCTATAAGATATTTATATATAGAAAATGTGCTATCCTTGCAGTCTTGATATCAGGGTGGATTGTGAAACATGAATTTTGGGGACTGGGCACATGGCTGGGTGGATAAGAACGATTACCATCCTAACAGGGGACTTCACCTCCCCTCACTGGCTGGCCCTCCTGCACAGACTCACCCAGGCTCTACCTGGTCCACACTCACCCAGGCTCTACCTGGTCCACACTTATCCAGGCTCTACCTGGTCCCATCTTCAGTGGTCCTCATCTCACTGCTGAACTGTATTCTGCATCACAGAGTTCTGTCTCTGAGGACCTCAGAACTCATCCAACAAATAGCCCTCTCAGGTTATAAATAACCCCAGGCTTTCCATGTTATATATAGCTTTAACTTTTTAAATGATTTGTTTTTATTTTATATACATCGGTGTTCTGCCTGCATGTATATCTGTATGAGAGTGTCAGATTCCCTGGAACTGGAGTTACAGATAGTTATGAGCTGCCATGTGGATACTGGGAACTGAACCCAGGTCCTTTGGAAGAGCAGCCAGTGCTCTTAACTGCTGATTCATCTCTCCAGGCCCTTCATGTTATCTATATATTTATTTATCATATATAAT